AAATGATACTGTAAATAGAATCTTACACACTGTAGTTTACAGCAGCAGCTATGTGCCTGGACAAGACTGAATTCATGACAGAGTATATACGGTCTTATACCGTAGGCATGTAGTATGTTAGTAGATACAAACACACACACACACACACACTACATGATCCAGTTATTAATTTAGTTAGGCAACAAGGGTAGTAGAAGTGTTTTTGAAGGAAGGAAGAAAATTATCAACAGAAGACAGAGAATGACAGAACACCAGCTGACATAATGTTAAAGGCAGTCAGGCAGGTGAAGTTGAAGAACAAATCAATCAGAAGTACAGCTAAGAATTTTAACGTAAGCCACCAACATCTCTTTTGGCTTCATCTATGTGGAGCCATTTTCATACAATATTCGAAAGAAGACGTTGTTTAAGTGTGTGAAATGCAACAAATGGGCCTGTAATGCTTGCACCTCAGGCCAGGCAATTTATGTGTGCCAGAACTGTGACACTAAAGACATGCCTGATTAGTCAGATACATATGTAGGTCGTACACAAAATTCACATTGTTGCATTAGTGTGTTTAAACACCCCATCTGTTTAATTAAGAAGTTATACATTTAAGCAAGTTATCTGCAGCATTACATTCAGTTAGCATAGATCTATTTGCACTCCAGAGAACGTTTGATTTTAAAGTTCAAAGAAAGAGGTTGTCCCACTTAATATGTGCTCTGCCAATATTTTTGTTTTGAGACTGTTGGCGACCAGAAAGAAGCCTGAACAAGGGTTTTGCTTTTGCAGAGCAATCAGCGATGAAATGCTGATAATAAAAGACCATGCCCAGGACAGACTTGATCTTTTTCCAGGACGACGTGACACCATCACTCTCCATCAGGTCAGCCTCTCCCACATCCACAATAGCTTTCACCTTGTCAGGGTCTGTCCTCACCCCATTTTCACAGATGATTTTTGAAATTAAGCTTTGCTTTGAACAAACCCAGAGACAGTTTTCTGCACAGTGGGAAAACCAGTGGTTTGTTGGCCAGGAGGAGGTAGCCGCTGAGCTGACCACTCTGCAGGAGGACTGTGAGGAGAAGGAGAGCCAGGTCATTAAGGTGAACGGTAGACAAGGGAAATGATGGCACTGGTAGAGGGAAATCGGTTCAAGCTGAGATCAATAAAAAAACGGAGCTCCACCAGAGTGAGACAGAGTGGGAGACTAATGCAACGCTCTGGAGGATCGTCTCAGGCGGGAGCGGAAATACAGCAGAGAGGTGGAGGAGAAGTGGCTCCACAAGGAGAGAAAGATGGAGGAGATTAAGCACCTGAGCCAGCAAAATACTGAGCTTCAGGTACGACACATCAGCTGATCACTTGTTGGAATAACAACTTGTTGGATGCTAACAGTTTGTTTCAGATTTAGTCTTCAGAAGAGAAAACACTGAATGGTTTTCTACTTTTGTCTTTTCAGGAACACGCCTCAAAAAACGGACATAGAGGAGGCCAAGATAAGAAAGGAGAAAAAGAAGGCAGGGAAGGAGACAGAGAAGAGGCTGAAGAAGGAGAGAAAATAGGAGGAGAAAAGAGACAAGAAAGAGAAAAAGAAAATGGGAAGGGAAATGAGAGATTGAAGAGCGAGAATAAAGAAAAGGAGGAGAGGAAGATGGAGAAGAGAGAACACTAACAGCCTTTCCCCCTTCCTAACCCTCTCACCCCTACCCCATATCCCTGCTCCTCCTACCCTCTTTCCCCCCATCTCCCCATCGAGCTTTCCTAATCCCCTCACCCCTGTCTCCCTATTACCCTAACTGTCCCCTCATCTCCCCATCCTTCCTCTTCTTCCTTGCCCTCTACCCCTCTTAACTTTCTCCACCCTCTTACCCCTTTACCCCTCCTCACATCATCCTTTTCTTCCTTTTGTCTTCTCAACAACATGTAGGTCCATAGAGTGTATATGTGCAGGTCATGTCACCTGATGACACTTAAATAAACACAATTAAATGTGACAACTTGGTCATGAGTTTCACCTGAAAACTTATTCATTCCGGAAAGCGTTTTCTGTTTTAACTGATAAGCCAGCCCTTTTATTGTTTTAATTTAATTTAATTTGTGCATGTTATGTCATATTTTATTGTTGTCTTTTATCAACTGCCATGATTTTAATGCTTTTATCTTTCTGTGAAAGCACTTTGTACAGTGTTTGATAAGTGCTCTACAAATGATGTTTATTATTATTATGATAGCAGGATTCAGATAATTGAAGTGACGTATGGCGGTTTATGTCAAATCAGCCAAACATACAAGGTTTCTTATTGAATAATTGTTTTTTATTGCTATATACCTCTACCAGCACTCTGTAGAGCAGTGTTGCTAATATGGCTGTAAATGAAAGCAGACTGTTCAAGCAGTAATTTCACAGCAGAAGTACTAAAGAAACACATACAAACAGCAGTCACTGCAAACGGTTTCTGCTGATCAAAACAAAATCTGCTTTTCTGGGACAGGCAGACTCACCACTACACAGCTTTGTAATTCTACTTCTGTCTCAATTGGTTGGTAAAACTTGCTCTGATATACAACAGATATACTGTAGATCTACGTAGTTTTTCTGGACAAATTGTGTCTCAAGCGTCTCATCAGTTAATGCTACCAGGCTGCGTTCTGTTCTTGGCTCGTCCTCTGAGTCTGCCACAGCCTGTATTATTGATATGTTACCTCAGTTATTCAGGTCCCCAACCTACGACGGAGTATTAGGGCCACATTGAGGGCAAAAATATTTTTTTTATTTTGCATTTCTAGAATAAAGTGGAAATGTCGAGAAAAAAAGTAAAATTTACGAGAATGAAGTTGATATGAAGAGAATAAAGCCAAAATTACGAAGATATAACATAGAAATTACGAGAATAAAGTTGAAGGAACTACCATAGTTAGTTTACCAGTGTATCTATCTATCTATATATATATATATGCTCCTCATTGATTTTATTAAAACTTTAACATACAAACTAACTATTGTAACTATAGCTGTCATATAAATGTTTGAGGTAAACGATGGTCTCTTAAAAACTGAGGAGTTACGACATTTGGAAAATGATCTTATCCACATGACAATTGCTCATCCACATCACACCATTAGCTTAACAGCCAGTGCTGTGCACTCACTGTGAAACAAAGCTTCCCAAGATATTTAAGACTCTTATTCTGAGAAATACTGTTGCTCAAACATACTGTGATGTATGTAAATCCAAAGACACAACTATTGCAAAACTGTGAGGTTAAACATCGTTTTACTGAACTAACACTTTCCCCACGTTTTGCAAAATACGGTTAAACATCGTTTAACTAAGCAGAAACTTTTCCCAAAATATGGTTTCTGACCTGTATTGATGCTCTGTTGTCTCTGCAAGTGAAAGTTAAAATTAAAAGCTTTTTCCCCACGTGTCACATTTGAAAGACTTTTCCCGTGTGCACATATTACAGTGAATATTTATCATGGTACAATTAGACATTGTTAATGTGACTATTTATTTTGTAAGGACTTTTCTATGGTTTTGGCTCTGAGTTTTTAGTTGATACAGAGTTTCTATCCAATTCAATGACGCAACTTCACGTGACAAAGGCACAAAGCATTCTTTGTCTGGTCATAGTGATTACAGATGTTCTTCCAGGTAACCAGGGGAACCTTCAGGTCCATCCATACCAACTTAATCAGGTGAAAAACACAGACATGGTATGAAAGTTACATAAACCTATATAAATATAAAATATACAGTGGCGTGAAAAAGTGTTTGCCCCTTTCCTGATTTCTTATTTTTTTTGCATGTTTGTTACACTGAAATGTGTCACATCAAACAAATTGAAATATTAGACAAAGATAACATAAATAAACACAAAATGCAGTTTTTAAATAAAGGTTTTTATTATTAAGGGGGAAAATTCCAAACCTACATAGCCCTGTGTGAAAAAGTGATTGCCTTCTAAGGGCCACCCTTAGAAACAACAACTGCAATCAAGTGTTTGCAATAACTGGCAATGAGTCTTTTAAAACGCTGTTAAGGATTCGCTCACAGTGACACACATACACAGAGTACATGGGCATCCGACTGAGTGAAGAGCCTGTTATTTATCTGGCTCAGGGTCAGGCATTATCTCATCACAATTACACGTTATCACTGAAGTCTGAACAGTACAGAGAACAGAGATGATTTATCTGTTACTTCACATGTTCAGCACCAAATCATACATGAATCACCGAGTCCAGGGGTTACATGAATCATTGAAAATGCTCAATACATCTATATGTATTTGACTATGACAAACTTTAACTAAAAGGATTTCAAGATAATTCATTAATAGATATTTGGCAAAACCAGCAACAGTCAAGATCACATCATTACTTCAACAGCCACTGCTGTATACTGACTGTGAAACTAAATGTTTTTGTCAATGTGGGAGATTATGGTTGTTTCAAAGAAATACTGTTGCTAACAGAAATAAATAGTCACATGACGGAAAACGAGAAAGAGATACTGTGACCTCTTCTCAATGGGAAATTGTCTACATCCAATTACAGATATGCAGGGCGGCAGTAGCTCAGTCCGTCAGGATTAGGCTGGGAACTGGAGGGTCACTGGTTCGAGACCGGTGACCGAGACAGCATAGACTGGTAGCTGGAGAGGTGCCAGTTCACCTCCTGGCCGCTGCTGAAGGTGAGCACGCCTGAACCCCCAATTGCTTGGGGCGCACTGAGTGGCAGCCCCGTCACTCTGACATCTCTCTGTGTGTTGTGTGTGTATACTAATAACAATAATACCACAAGACTGAGAACATTGAATTTCCCCTTGTATACTAGTTAATAAAGTATGTCTTCTTCTAGCAATTGCAAAAGTGTATTTCATTCACATCTCCAGAGGAGTTTCAGCCTGATGATTTCTCCCATTTACAGTGATCCTCAGTGTTTTTTCAGGATCTCTCTACAAACCACTAGACCTGAATCATCCAAAATATTATGCAAAAACAAGGTTACGTGCCAGTATGCAATTTTTTATGCCTTGTCAAATGATATGCTTTACCAAATCCTTTCCCACAGATCTGGCAAAGGTAAGGCTTCTCGCCTGTGTGGGTTCTCATGTGCTCGGTTAAGTGACCTCTGAGTCTGAAACGTTTTCCACATGTTTCACAACAATATGGCTTCTCACCTGTGTGGGTTCTTATATGAACTTTCAAGGAACTGTAAGATTGGAAATTTTTCCCACATGTTTCGCAAGTGTGTGGCTTTTGTTTTGTGTGGGTTCTCAGGTGTCTCTGCAATCTTGACTTATACTTCAAAGCTTTTCCACATGTCTCACATTGGACAGACTTTTCACCTGTGTGAGGATTATGGTGAATTTCTGACCTGGTAGAGTTGTGTACATTGTTACTATGACTTCTGTTTTCATGATGTCTCGTCTGTGGTTCTGCATCTCTAGTTGATCCTGAGTCTTCATGCTTGCCTCTTGCCTGATCTTGACTCTCAGCTACATGAGAGCTGTGAGAGAGGAGCTGGTGGTCTCTGTTTGGTTCTGGTTCTCTGTGGTCACTTTCCTCATAAGCAGGAATCCACATAAAGGCATCAGTCTCCTGCTTCAGTACGAGCTGCTCTCCCTCCTGACTGCTGCAGAGTTCCTCCTGTTCCTCTTTAATCTGTGGAGGCTCTGGGTCCTCCTGGTCCAGACTGGAGTTCCTCTCCTGAACACAGAGCTGCTGGTCTGCGAGAACCTCCTCTTCCTTACAGACATGTTGCTGTGGGAGCTCTGGGGGGACAGAGAAAAAAATGAACATGATACTACTGCGATGGTAAAGAAAACATGCAGACATGCGAGCAAATCAACAGCAGTACACTTTTAAACCACTGCCACTTGGATTATATGTATCTTATTCTGTTGTTTTTTTACACACCTGTTCTGTGTAACTTTATTTCCGGCTTCCAAGCGATATCCAGCAGTCTGCGCTGACGATCGATTTCTTCTTCGTACTCGTGGACAGTTTTTCTGAAAACTCCGAATATTTCCTCAGCAGCAGCAGTTAGTCGCTCATTGACAAACTCTCTCAGAAACTCAACTGAAGACATTGTTGCTTAATTATAAATTAAATAAATAACGTTATCTGCGTTACGACTGCAATATCTTCTTCCAGCTAATTCAGTACGTTCGTGGAGTTGTTTACTTCCGCTGGATGTCACAATGTTAAGTTCCGACAGTGCAACCACGGGAGCTTTTTGTTCCGCTTTAATCTGATGCCATTTTATTCTCAACATGTGTTTTTACTAACAATTATGTACATCTACCTCGCTTCATTCCACAGAGGAATTTGGTACTCTTTTCTAAACTACTACTTTTTATTGACTCACTTGTTTTTTTACTTCACAGAAAATGATTTTGCATAAATTAACAAATAAGCAGTGACGGAAGTAGGATTACTTATATAGAAATACCTTTATGTAATTCATGGTGCATTCAAAATGTTATTTATGTAAAAAATCGTAAGTGCTATTAGAAAAATATATAATAATGTAAGAAACATTAAATTAATCAATATACTGAATGGCCTCTATCAGTGCCATATTTGACATTACATTACATTTATTCATTTAACTGACGCTTTTATCCAAAGCGACTTACAATTGCTATAAATGTCAGAGGTCGCACACCTCTGGAGCAACTAGGGTTTAAGAGTCTTGCTCAGGGACACAGTGGTGGATGGACTCTGTATTAGTGGATTTAAACCCGCATTTCTCACACTAAAGGCATGTATCTTGTCCACTTTTCCATCCCCACCACCATTTGACTTTAATTACTGATGCTATGACGTGAACATGTGGATGCAGCAGCTAGTCAACAATAAGACATTTGGAAAATGCTCTTATCCACATGACAATTGCTCATCCACATCACACCAATATATCTATATTGTTTTGTTCATAGTGTGTATATTAGTGTTGTCTATACTGTAGTTTGTGTCTGATTTTATTTTATTATTATTTTATTATTGTGTTATGGTACTTTTGCATGAGTAAGCACATCATGAGCAATGTACAATCCTGAGTCAAATTCCTCATATGTGTACACATACCTGGCAATAAAGCTGACTCTGATTCTGATTTGTTTAACAGTCAGTGCTGTGCACTCACTGTGAAACAAAGCTCCCCAAGACTTTTGAGTCATTATTCCGAGAAATTATTTTGTCAAACATATTGTGATGCTGAAAATCCAAAGACACAACTATTGCAAAACTGTGAGGTTAAACATTGTTTTACTGAACTAAAACTTTCCCCACGTTATGCAAAATACGGTTTCTCACCTGTGTAGATGCTCAGTTGTATCTGCAAGCTTTTTCCCCACACGTCACATTTAAAACTGAAAACACCCCCTCAAAATTCAAATCTCAGAATTGAAAATCTAACGTATCCAACGATTGAATAATCGAAAATTTGGGTCCGGCCCGACAAGTGCAAAGGAATATCTTATATGATGTAAAAGTTGATATGTAATTATCATCAAACAAAACCCACCTGTCAGTCAGACATACTGTATAAATGAGGTAGCGTATAAGCATAATAAAGGCACGTTCACATTTAATAGCACTTCTTAAATGGTAACAGTGATGTTAGTCTTTCTCAAATGTAAAATATGAATTCTTGCGAAGATGTGTAGGAGGCTTTATGTAAAAGTATCACTACTACTTGAGGTACAAAGATTTTAAGACCTTTTTAAACTTGTGATGACAGTTCTAGTTAAAATAAACACTTTGAGGCAAGCACTTGTATTTTAGTTTTATTCAGTCATCAGCAGATGGACTCACAGTGACACACATACACAGAGTACTTGGGCACCCGACTGAGTGAAGAGCCTGTTATTTATCTGGCTCAGGGTCAGGCATTATCTCATCACAATTACACGTTATCACTGAAGTCTGAACAGTACAGAGAACAGAGATGATTTATCTGTTACTTCACATGTTCAGCACCAAATCATACATGAATCACCGAGTCCAGGGGTTACATGAATCATTAAAAATGCTCAATACATCGATATGTATTTGGCTATGACAAACTTTAACTAAAAGGATTTCAAGATAATTCATTAATAGATATTTGGCAAAATCAGCAACAGTCAAGATCACATCATTACTTCAACAGCCACTGCTGTTCACTGACTGTGAAACTAAATGTTTTTGTCAATGTGGGAGATTACGGTTGTTTCAAAGAAATACTGTTGCTAACAGAAATATAGGTAATAAAGTCACATGAAGGAAAACTTTATACCAAGATAGTTTGACCTCTTCACAGTGGGAAATTGTACACATCCGATTACAGAGATGTAACAATTGCAACAGTTTATTTAATTCAATAAGAGAACACATCTCCAGAGGAGTTTCAGCTAGATGGTTTCTCTTCTGTATATTGATCCTCAGGGTCCAGTTGTTCAAAAGTAATCTGAACGGATTTCAGCTATCGGATTCTTCAAATCTTTAGTACAATTGGGATCCTTTGATCCATAAAAACAGGATTATCCTGATCCCAACAGAAGGGTGGATTCAGGGTGGATTTTAGAAACAAAATGTCTCTATAACTTTAAATTTTTTCCAAATAATACAACATTTTACCCTGTAGGAGCCTATATACACACACATTCATTTATATTTTGCACTTGATTTGTTTAAAATTTAGAGTGGTACAGTAGATAAAGTTGACATTACCTATAAGCCATTTAGTACAGTAAAGTAAAAAGTAAATAAAAAAAATTAATAATCCCCCAAACAGCTGTCAATATCAAACAAAACTAATGTATTTCATTCCAACTTTTACTTGTTACTTTAAATTAATTACAAAGACACAATCATCAGAGATGAACCGTTCAAAAGTATTTGTAACAATTGCATCCCTTACTGCAGGTCCAGTCAGTCCCTCATTCTGAGATTGCCTCCTAAAAGCTGCTGTCTGACCTCTGAATGAATTTTATTTTAACTACTGGACAGCACATGCTCAAAATATCCACAGTGTATCTGTGAATAATGTATATTTGTTTGTTTTTCTTGGATTTGTTGTGGGTCAGATGGGGAGTCTGACTGTTAAAAGAAATTGAAAATGGAAGGAAACGTTTGTGCTGTTTTATTGTGCATTTTCTGTCTCTTCAAATTTAAGTGATCCCACACTGGCTGTTCTACCTGTTTGTCTTTATATCATTAACAACCTACGTTGTGATATGCAGTCCATACCTAATCCATTTTACTTTAGTGCCAGTTTTTCAAAGCAAAACTGGATTGGATCACCCTGATCCAGATTCCTTTTCAAGATAACCAAATTCGGGATTTCTAGTGCTCTAAATGGGACTATATATCACAAAGTAGGCTGTTGGCTATATAAAGAACAACAGGTAGAATAGTAGAGACAGAAAACGCACAATAAAACAACACTAACAATTCCTTCCTTTTTCAATTTCTTTAAACAGTCAGACCCCCCATCTGACCAACAACAAATCCAAGAAAACAAACACACACTATTCACAAATACACTGTGGATATTTTGAGCATGTGTTGTACATCATAAAAAGGCTAAATGTTATAGTTAACAAAGTAAAAAATGTTCTTCTTCATTTGTAAAGAAATCAGTTTGGGACTGACTGGACTGGGAATAAGGGATGCAATTTTAAGAAACTACTTTTGACTGGTTCACTTCTGATGATTGTGTGATTGTAATTAATGTACAGCTGTAAGTGACAGTTAAATACATATTGACAGCTGTTAAGCATTAGAGTATTTTATGGGGACAGAATCCATTTTTACTGTAGTGAAAGGCTTAATAGGTAATGTCTACTTTATCTACTTTATCACTGTAAAGTTTAAACAAATCAAGAGCAAAATATAAATGTTTATATATAGGCTACTACATACAAAATTGTGTATTATTTGACAAATGTTTATGTTCTGAAAATCATAATCATAGGATAATGCAGATATTTTGGATCAAATGTATCTCAGTCCTTCAAAAAAATTTTGAGCCTGAAGGTTTGATCCAGATCAAAACCAAGATTGGATTAGGTGATCTGATCTAATTTCAGAATCCTGTTCATTTGAACAATCCCTTTTCAGGATTTGATTCAATCCGATAGTCGAAATCCTATCAGTTCACTTTTGAACAATAGGGCCCTGGTGTTTTTTCAGGATTTCCCCCCAAACCACTAGACCTGAATCGTCCAAAATATTTTGCAAAAACATGGTTACATGCCAGCATGCAATCTTTTATGCCTTGTCAAATGAGACGCTTTACCAAATCTTTTCCCGCAGATCTGGCAAAGGTAAGGCTTCTCACCTGTGTGGGTTCTTATGTGGACTTTCAAGTCACTGCTAGCACTGAAATCTTTCCCACATATTTTGCATAAATATGGCCTCTCACCTGTGTGGATTGTCATATGCCTTTTCAATGCGAATGTTCGACAGAATCTTTTCGCACAAGTCTTGCATTGGTACGGCTTCTCACCTGTGTGGGTTCTCATGTGGACTTTCAAGACACTGCTAGCACTGAAAGCTTTCCCACATGTTTTGCATGAATATGGCCTCTCACCTGTGTGAGTTCTAATGTGGCCTTTCAATGCTGAGTTGTCAGTGAACCTTTTCCCACAGGTGTTGCAAAGGTACGGCTTCTCATCAGTGTGGGCTCTTCTCATGTGGATTATCAGGGTGCTGTTAACTCTGAAATCTTTGCCACATGTTTTGCAAGAAAATGGCTTCTCACCTGTGTGGATTGTCAAATGCCTTTTCAATTTTGACATTTCACCAAATCTTCCCCCACAGGTTTTGCAAAGGTAAGGCTTCTCACCTGTGTGGGTTCTTATGTGGACTTTCAAGTCACTGCTAGCACTGAAAGCTTTCCCACATGTTTTGCATGAATATGGTCTTTCACCTGTGTGGATTGTCATGTGACTGCCTGTGTGCTTTCTCATGTGGACATTCAAGGCAGTGCCACTTCTAAAACCTTTTAAACATGTTTTGCAAGAATGTGGCTTCTCGACCGTGTGGGTTCTCAGGTGTCTCTTCAATCCTGACTTATACCTAAAAGCTTTTCCACATGTCTCACATTGGACAGACTTTTCACCTGTGTGAGGATTATGGTGAATTTCTGACCTGGTAGAGTTGTGTACATTGTTACTATGACTTCTGTTTTCATGATGTCTCGTCTGTGGCTCTGCATCTCTAGTTGATCCTGAGTCTTCATGCTTGCCTCTTGCCTGATCTTGACTCTCAGCTACATGAGAGCTGTGAGAGAGGAGCTGGTGGTCTCTGTTTGGTTCTGGTTCACTGTGGTCACTTTCCTCATAAGCAGGAATCCACATAAAGACATCAGTCTCCTGCTTCAGTACATGCTGCTCTCCCTCCTGACTGCTGCAGGGTTCCTCCTGTTCCTCTTTAATCTGTGGAGGCTCTGGGTCCTCCTGGTCCAGACTGGAGTTCCTCTCCTGAACACAGAGCTGCTGGTCAGCAAGAACCTCATCTTCCTTACAGACATGTTGCTGTGGGAGCTCTGGAGGGCCAGAGAACAAAAGGAACATGATACTACTGCGATGGTAAAGAAAACATGCAGACATGCGAGCAAATCAACAGCAGTACACTTTTAAACCACTGCCACTTGGATTATATATATCTGTTGTTTTGTTTTATTAAAATAATGAAGCTTCACTCACCTGTCCTGTGTAACTTTATTTCGGGTTTCCAAGCGATATCCAGCAGTCTGCGCTGACGGTCGATCTCTTCTTCGTACTCGAGGACAGTTTTTCTAAAAACTCCAAATATTTCCTCAGCAGCTGCAGTTAGTCGCTCGCTGACAAACTCTCTCAGAGACTCAACTGAAGACATTGTTGCTTAATTATAAAGTAAATAATTAGCTGCGTTACGTTAAATAAATAACGTTATCTGCGCTACGACTGCAATAGACTATCTTCTTCCAGCTAATTGAATGCATTCATGCAGTTTAAACTACTAGCGCCAGTGTTGTTTACTTCTTTCTTCTTCTTCTTCGGGTTTTATGGCAGCTGGCATCCATTGAGTTGCATTACTGCCACCTTCCGGCTTTATTTTCCATTTGCTTTCTGCCTATCTAATCCAGTCGCCCTCAAAAACAAATATCCATTTCCCACACTCTCTCCATACTCCAATAATTTTTTTACTGTATTATCTACCCGTCCCATTTTTTAAAAACTGTGTTATCATTTCTTGTCTCTCCTGAGTAAATATCTTGCATGTTGTAAGAAAACACTGTTTCAGCCTCCTGACATTGTTCACACATTCCTGTAGAATGTTTTCCTATAATTAAAAGTGTGCTGTTAAGATTGCTATGCCCAGTTCTCAGCCTGCTTATTATCCCCTGCTCTTTCCTCTTTGCTCCCCTCCTTCTTGATATGCCTACTCTGCTTTGGATTGCATACATGTCTCCCTTTTGTTGCATTATCCATTGCATTCCATGCATTGTTGATTTACACTTCTCCACACTATCCCTTTCCCCTCTGATTTTCATAATTTAATATTGACTTCAACTGCTTCTATTGCCATCTTATCTGCTTTCTCATTTCCCTGAATTCCCGAGTGTGCAGGGACCCACAAAAATATGACATTTTCCCCCTGCCTAGCTATTCTTGGGTTCATAAATAAGTTCATAAATAAGACTTCACACAGCAGGTCCAGGTGACTTCTAGCTGTACCTGTCTTCATGCTTATAAGAGCTGACACAGAGTAACTACAAATTAATATTTCCATATCTCTAATTTGTTCTGTCCATTCCAATGCCATCAATTTGGCAAACAGTTCAACTGCAAACACACAGATGTTCTTTTGCCAAGTTCCACTTGATACCTAGGAACAACAACTGCAGACCCCGTTTTCATCTGCTTGCGTGTCCTTTGACCCATCTGTAAAAATCTGAATACTTTCCTAATACTTACTTTCCGTATAGCTATAATATACACTAGTTAAATCAGCAGTCTTATTATAGCGTTTAATCTTAAGTAATTTCAAATCTACACATGGTGTTTCTAATTCCCAGACAGGTCTGACAGGCCACACGACATTTGTGCCAAACTCTTTATCATATACTCTTGTTTCCTTTGTCATTTGATCCCCTATCCACCCAAAACTTGTTTTTTGTGTTGTCTCCGTCTCCCAGCATGTCTGCAGCACCCTTTTTGCTGGATGGCCATCTCCATGCCCTCTTAAATTGACCCAATAATAGCCCCCAGCTGCTTCCTCCTCACCCACAGTGGCATTTCACCTGCTTCAACTTGGACAGCGTATACTGGGGAGGTTCTAACCGCTCCTAAGCACACTATTAAAGCCCGAGTTTGTATAACATCCAGGTCTGCTAACACAGATTTGGTTGCTGAACCATATACAATACTTCCATAGTCTAACCTTGATCATATTAAGGTGTATATATGTATTTCAGTGATGCTACATCAGCTCCCCACCCTAATCCTGCAAGACACCTCATGACCAACTTTTTTGCACTTATCAACTACATATCTAATATGTTCCCTCCATGTTAATCTCACATCAAAATACACTCCCAAAAAATGAAAACTTTCAACTCTCTCTAAATTATTTCCATACAATTTCAAATACCCTTCCCCGACTTTCTTTCTTGTGAAGAACATAGCTTTTGTTTTTTTCCACTGAAAACTTAATTCCTCATTTTGTTCCGCACTTTTCGACTTGATTTATTCCAACTTGCATTTTCTTAGCTACATATACCACATTTCTCCCTCTTTTCCACAATGCTCCGTCATCTGCAAACAATGGTCTCCCAATATCAGTTGGAATGTTTACAAATACATCATTTATCATAATGGAAAATAAAGTTGGACTTATTACACTCCCCTGAGGTGTCCCGTTCTCTACAGTATGTTGGCTAGATAATTCTGCTCCTGTCTTCACCTGAATAGTTCTTTGATTTAAAAAGTCCATAATCCAATTAAACATTCTCTCTCCAACACCCATTAGGTTCAGTTTAATTAGCAACCCTTCCTTCCATAACATATCATATGCCTCTTCCACATCAAAAAACACCCCAACCATTGTCTGTTTATTCACTTGAGCTCTCCTTATTTCATCTTCTAGCCCCAGCACTGGATCTATAGTACTTCTTCCCTTCCTGAAACTGCTTTGATATGGAGCCAACATTCCTTTTTCCTCCAGGAAGTACGTTAACCTCTCACTCACCATACGTACCATTAACTTACAGATATGAGACGTCAAGGCTATTGGTCTATAGCTTCCAGGTTGGCTGGCATCTTTTCCAGGTTTCCTTATTGGAATCATTAGCCTCCTTCTTAACTCCCTGGCATTATTCCCTCTTCCCACTTCCCACATTGTTCCAGACTTCCAACACTTAGATGCTTTATCCTGATATAACATATTTCATCTTTCACCGGCGCTGTCTGTCCTGCATTATCTAGTGTCCTTTTTAACTCTCCTATTCTAAAGGGGACATTCCCAGCAAGCAATAGCCGTCTAGGTTTACTATATATCAAAAAGTTGATTTATTTCAGTAATTCCATTCAAAAAGTGAAACTTGTATAATGTATACATTCATTACACACAGACTGATATATTTCAAGTGTTCATTCCTTTTAATTTTGATGATTATAACTGACAACTAATGAAAACCCCAAAATCAGTATCTCAGAAAATTTGAATATTGTGAAAAGGTTCAATATTGAAGACACCTGGTGCCACACTCTAATCAGCTAATCAACTCAAAACACCTGCAAAGGCCTTTAAATGGTCTCTCAGTCTAGTTCTGTAAGCTACACAATCATGGTGAAGACTGCTGACTTGACAGCTGTCCAAAAGACAACCATTGACACCTTGCACAAGGAGGGCAAGAAAGGGTCATTGCTAAAGAGGCTGGCTGTTCACAGAGCTCTGTGTCCAAGCACATTAATAGAGAGGCGAAGGGAAGGAAAAGATGTGGTAGAAAAAAAGTGTACAAACAAAACCCATTCAAAAATGTGGGGGAGATTCACAAAGAGTGGACTGCAGCTGGAGTCAGTGCTTTATGAACCACCACGCACAGACGTATGCAAGACATGGGTTTCAGCTGTCGCATTCCTTGTGTCAAGCCACTCTTGAACAAGACACAGCATCAGAAGCGTCTCACCTGGGCTAAAGACAAAAAGGACTGGACTGCTGCTGAGTGGTCCAAAGTTATGTTCTCTGAATTTTGCATTTCCTTTGGAAATCAAGGTCCCAGAGTCTGGAGGAAGAGAGGAGAGGCACAGAATCCACGTTGCTTGAAGTCCAGTGTAAAGTTTCCACAGTCAGTGATGGTTGGGGTGCCATGTCATCTGCTGGTGTTGGTCCACTGTGTTGTCTGAGGTCCAAGGTCAACGCAGCCGTCTACCAGGAAGTTTTAGAGCACTTCATGCTTCCTGCTGCTGACCAACTTTATGGAGATGCAGATTTAATTTTCCAACAGGACTTAGCACCTGCACACAGTGCCAAAGCTACCAGTACCTGGTTTAAGGACCATGGTGTCCCTGTTCTTAATTGGCCAGCAAACTCGCCTGACCTGAACCCTATAGAAAATCTATGGGGTATTGTGAAGAGGAAGATGCGATACGCCAGACCCAACAATGCAGAAGAGCTGAAGGCCACTATCCGAGCAACCTTGGCTCTCATAACACCTGAGCAGTGCCACAGACTGATCAACTCCATGCCACGCCGCATTGCTGCAGTAATTCAGGCAAAAGGGGCTCCAACTAAGTACTGAGTGCTGTACATGCTCATACTTTTCAGTTGGCCAACATTTCTAAAAATCCTATTTTTGTATTGGTCTTATTAGTAGTAATATTCTAATTTTATAGATACTGAATTTGGGATTTTAATTAGTTGTCAGTTTTAATCATCACAATTAAATTAAATAAACATTTGAAATATATCAGTCTGTGTGGAATGAATATAATATCCAAGTTTCACTTTTTGAATGGAATTACTGAAATAAATCAACTTTTTGATGATATTCTAATTATATGACCAGCACCTGTATACTGCAAACACTGGAAGACATTTACTTTGGTCTTGTAAGTATCTGTGTCTTTGTTTGACATGTCTTCATTATTTATCTAAATTATTTGTTAACGTGTAGGAACCGTGACATTTCAGCGGGTAACAGTGTAGAGTAAGGCACGTTGTGGTTAGCTTAACATGCTGCATGCAAGTGTAACTTAACGTTACTCCATGATACCCACAGGTTTCCTCGTGCCCTTAAAAACTCTTACATTATATTATCTGAATTCAGAAGGGATGAACATAAAACATGTGCAACCTTACCTATTATAATTTGTAATGAAAGCCACACATATATTTTACTCACCAGATCATTATGATATGAAAATATGAGTTTTTGACTTTTGACACTAAATATTTATTGCAAATTATCAGTCAGCAAAGACAACAATAAATATTCAGAACAGAACACTTACATTCACCGCACATACCTCTCTCAAAAGAATAAAAGCAACTTCTCTATTTGGTTGTTCTAATGCAACATGGCTAAGTTCAAGTATCTTTATATTTTCCATAGAGATAAATGGGTCAGTAATAAATACTTTTAAATTAAAAAGAACGTTATAAATGATTTTTTTTAAAAGCTTCATTAGAATGATAATTAGAAATATACTGTATGTTTTCATTTAAAATCATTTGATGATAGTTGTCATATCTTATGGGAAAACGGTGAACATAGTCAAATTATGTTTACTTATATTCATATTCTTACATATTCAACAGTTATGAATCCCATTTACCCGAGAGACTGGCGCCAACCGAGAGACCCATGTGTTGCTCTTCCTGCATCAAGTAGCAGCTTATATGAAGATCTAGATTTGGATGTAGCCAAACAATTTATTTTATCATTATTTATGTTTTTATTACCGCATGTTGTTAAAATTGTTTGTATTTTCATATATAAAAGTTATATATATTTTCATATATAT